CAAAACAAGAAAAGTATCCTCAAAAACCTTGTTTCAGCCAAGAGATTAATTCCTAATTTTAATTGTGGGATTATTCAAATGCAGAAAGTCTTTCAAATATTAAAGGCTGCTAGCTGGCTTTCAGTGCATTACCACAGGGAGCCTTAGAATCCAATTATCTCTGAAGAAATACGTTAAATGTCCTCATTAACATGTAAAAAAGTGGAAACATGTATTAGGGAAAAGCTGATGTATTACACTTCTTAATGTCACAATGAATTAGCAATAAAGAAGGTTGCAACAGAAATAACCTGCTGAAATGCCTAGGCAGCGTAGGAAAATAAAGCATGTTATTCCAATTAGCTTAATTCCTGATCATGACATAGATGTAGCGATAAAACTCTCTGTATAATGGGCTCCAGCCGGGTGAAAGTGTAGGAATTGTGCTTTGTGCATGGAAGGAAGCAAGAGCAGGGAGGGAAGCCTGAACCTCAGCGTAAACTGCCCTCAGCAGGCCAGAGGAAGGAGGCAACGTCAGGGAGGAGGCAGAGGAGCCAGGTCAGGAAGGCAATAACCCAGATCCTCTGGGTCCCCCGGCTGCACAGCGTGCAGGCACTAACCAGGCATTTGCTTTTTCTTTCAGCATCCCTAAGCAAGCCCCATCCATTTGAGCCCCGCAGTCTCCCAGCTCTCCAAAACCCGTATTTAAATGCTTTCTCACGTTAAACTTTCCCTCTTTCATCAGCACTAACCTACACTTCTGCTCTTCCCTGCCGAGCAGGAACAGAGTCACACAGGAATAAACAGTAATTTGCTGTTTTATTTTTCTGTTGAGAAACCTGACCGCTCTGACCTAACTCCCACCCCCTTGAGCCCCAGACCTTAAACACCCCCAAGTCCTCACACCCCACACCAGCCCCTGCCATTACCGCCTGACGCACCCTCACCACACACCCCCGACCGCTGGCAATGCTTTTTCTGTGCCCCCTGCCCTCCCAGTGCCTCCTTCATCTGCTGCTTCCTTTCCTCCCCTCCCCATTAACTGAGGAGTTGAGCAATTTTCCAGATCCAAGAGGAAAATAACCCCGGGGCTGTCTGAGGAGGCACCAGTTTTCTAGTTATATTTTCAGTGAAAATAATTGTAGGTGAGGTTGGTTTACCTGGAGTTTTCTACATTAAAATACAGCAGGAGAAATTAAGCATGACCCAAGTTGTAGATCTTCTGCAATCACTATGGTGGTAACAACAGCTACCAAATTATTCTCAAGCTCTTGTGTAACCATACACATTTCCACACCTTTCTTTTTTCCTGCACTTTGGACACAAACCTGCTCTAAATGACCACACCAAAGTCCCAGTGCTGTCCTGAGGCAGGTGTCACCTCCAGCTTCACCCAGCTCTGGTGCACACAACTCCTCCAGACCCATCCCAGCTGTGCAGTCCACAGCCCGCGGAACCACAGCCGCCCCTCGTGTGGATGCCAAACACCTTCCAGTGGTGCCCAGTGACAGGACAAGGGGCACCGGGCACAAACTGGAGCAGAGGAAGCTCCAGCTGAACCCGAGGAAGAACTTCTTCCCTCTGAGGGTGCCGGAGCCCTGGCCCAGGCTGCCCAGGGAGGTTGTGGAGTCTCCTTCTCTGGAGATATTCCACACCCTCCTGGACAAGGTCCTGTGCAGCCTGCTCTGGGTGACCCTGCTTGGGCAGGGGGTTGGACTAGATGACCCATGGAGGTCCCTTCCAGCCGCGACCATTCTGTGATTCTGTGAACATCATTTTGCCCAGGAAACAGAAAGCAAGGTGAACTGGACAGATGTGGATAAAATTAGGCGATCAAATGGCTTAAAGGAAGAAACCAGCGAGCATTTTACCCGCAGCCTAACCTTGAATACACACTGCCTACCCAGAGAAGCTGCTTTGCCCATTGCCCCAACGCATTTCCTACTGCTGAGCTCAGAAAACAGAGCTCCTTCAGCAAATACACCTCAAAAACTTGTGACTATTAGTGGAGTGAGTTTGCCAGGTAAATAACATGCTGCAGACTTGTTCCCTTCTCCACCACACCATGCACCTTACCTCCATGCCTCCGTGGTAAATCCACCTGGGAAAGCCAGCTCTGAGTAACGTGCATTTTGGCTGCTTCGAACACAAACTCCCCCAGTACTGATCCTTCTCTGAAGCGCAGGTGGCATCACAGGGGAAGGAGCTACCCCTCCGGCCCCCAAGTTTAGGCTGTGGTGCTAATGGTGCCTTTCCAGGACCAGCTCGGCTTGAAGGTCTTGAGTGCCCAGGAGTCTCTAACCACATGGGGCACGGCCTTGGATCCTTCCGTTATTGGGTGAAAACAGAGAAATTAGAGTTCAAGCTTTATTTGAGCCAAAGGCATCACAAGCTAATTGTATTAAGCCATTTGGCTCTGTGGGAAGAGCCGTTTTCACAGTGAAGAGCAGCACAAAAGCTGCTCTTCCACTGCAGAGGAGCTCCTATGAAGATCAGCTTCTTTCCAGACCTCTTCCGAGAGCAAGCCCACCCAGCCCCATCCCAATCCTGTTCAGCCCCCCCCATCATCCTTGCAAACCAGGTGTGAGTGAGTGCAAAGCCTCCCCTCCTGTTTCACCACTCTCCAGGCAGCACCCTGAGGTTTCGGGTAATTTCATTAGCACAAGTCGTAGCAGCACCTGCTCTCCTCTCCCTGGATTCAACATCATTTCTTGCAAGCTCTGCTGAAAGTGATATTCTTCTCTTTTCTGTTCTGCAGCACTTCTTCACGTACCATTCGACCCTCTAACCTTTTCTGCTTCCTAAAACACGTATGAAATCCTGTACAACACAAACCTGTTATTGTCTACGCTTGTCGACAAGAGGAGAAACCACCCTGCTCAGGGTCTGGGTGGTTTGACTAGAAATAACTTCAGCCGGAACACCCTAAACACTTCTGCCTCTTCAAGGTGCCCCCAGTAATTGCCCTCTACCCTCACCTCAGCTTAATGAGAAGGTTGGCAGCAAACATGCCACGTGTTAGAGGAAAGCGGTACGCTTCATGCATATGTGATAGAAAAGTTGATAGATTGAGAAACAGAAATAAAAGGGAGATCACAGGTCCTCCCTGGCCACTGCCCGCTCAGGCTGACAGAAGAGCTGCTTGATGGCACCTGCGATTAAACCTCTCCGCTGAAAGAAGGAGCATGGTTTCAGACAGAGCCCCCCAGCGAAAAAAAAGCCCTGAGCTCAAGAGGGCTCAGCACACGACCAAAGGACAGGACAGCCTGCAAAGCCCTCCTGACCCTGCAGCCTCCCCTAGTTATCCCTTCCCCGTATATCTGCGAGGATTTCACATCAGTGAAGTGTGACCCATTAACCTTCCCCCCCATGAAAGGCACAAAGCAAGCCAGGGCAATTTCCTGAAAGTGCTTTTTTTTAATACAGAACTGGATGTGTTTCATTTTCTGTGACCAAATCACCTTGTGCTTTAAAAGTTACATGGATTTCTGGTATAATTTTTTTCCCCAGTCTTTCTTATTAACCATCTCTTGGCCAAGAAAAGCACTTTAAAAAAATAGAAAGCTATAGTAAGTACACCTAAAAGTCTTACTCCAAATGCCTAGGAAACAACTTCCATATCTAAAATTTATACTATTTCATATATAAAATATATTTTCCTGATCTAACCGCATTTAGGCCTGTGGGGCTCCCAGTTAACCCACTGGGCACCAATATGGTGGCCTCACCCACAGGACACAGGGTTGCAGCGGGGACTGGTCCCTTCCTTGCCAAGTGCCTCAGTTTCCCCTTCTGGTAATGGGTGATGGCAGCCCACCATGCCCACAGTCCCCAGCTGCTCGCTGGCTCTGGGACACACCATGTCACCCCTCTGTCCTACTCCCAGTGCCACTTGGTGGCACTGTTAGAAAAGGTTTCTTTGCTCGATGCCTACCTCCCCATCGGGATCCAGAAGAGGGAGTTTCTGGAAGGAAACACATTCATCTTGGCATCACAATATCCTCATTTTTCTTCCTTTGTTTTCTTTGGTCTTTATTCACCATGCAAGCACTCCCAGGCGTCTCCTCCCCTGCCCGTCAGTCACTGGGGATCTCCTTTCGCAAAACACGTTTACCAGACACAAGAGTCCCGGGCGTTGCTCGGGCATCACTTTAAATCCTCCAGTGGTAAAAATAGCCTTTTCTGTTAAATTCCTCTGAAGTGTGTCTGCAGGTGGGGCAAGCTTAGGAAGGATCACGTATTAAACCCAGAGAAAAGCATCAGAGCAGAAGTTAATGAGAAAGAGACAAATGAAGACAGGGGCATGACAATGTAATTGGGGTGAGCGACGTTTCGGGTCGCCCCGCTGAAGGGGTGTCTCCTCTGCAAGACGCAGGCTGTGATCCTGAACGGTATATAAGACGCCTGAGAGCTGAGCTGCTCCAGACTGCGCTCCTGAAGCTCAGCGCTCCTCCTCCTCACCCAGGTAAGCCTGGACAGTTTTTACACTGTCTGATTTAGCTACCAGCGGGAAAGCAGGAGCTTCTGGCCACGAGGATGCCCGGGGGGCTGCCACTGCTGAGCTCTCCTAAAGAAAAAATACAAAAAAATCAGAAAAGAGATCTGGAATGGCACTACTCCTTGGTTCGTCAGAGACAACCTCCATTCGCAGCTCTGCTCTGCTCCAGAGAAAGCCAAATGGGATTTTCTTCTCTCCTCTCTTACTGGGTGCCCCCAGCCTTTCAGCTCTCGCTGTCCCCCACCTCTCCAGCCATCACCTGCTGGTCTTCACACCCAGCCATCGCTGCAGCTGAGTTTCATTTTTCAGACTTGTTTTCCTGTGAGATCCCTCT